TCACAATGAAAGGTATCACCTGATTATTAGTAAGACAAATAAATTATCAGTCAACTTCCCTCTGTAATTGCAGCAAATTCCTCATTTCTTTCAGAGTGATGTTTTCCCCTGTCCTTCTAGCCATTTGCTTCCCTGACCTAATGGGACTTATATTGCCCCTGCTATAGGGTTGGCTGGAGCTTCATTTATAGCTCAGCTAGATTTTCTAGGACTTTAAACGTAGGTTAAAAACAAAAGTTTCTCTTTCTCATTGTATTTCTGCTCAGCCTAGTTGCTCACAATGGTGCAACACAATATGTTTGGTTCAGTAAGTATCAATTCAACTAGCTCAGTTTGATCTGCCACTTATTACTCAATATTTTATTACTTGATGCTTTATAAGTCGAAACGCCAGGGACTGAACCTGAGGCCTTTTCATTGAATTATCCTCTCATTCTAAGCAATGGGTTTACACTACATGTCTTATGATTTAACGTAGCTGCATTTTGGTTGATGTTATGATCTATCAATTCAACTCTTGACTCCTGGTGACCATAGGGACAATTTCCTGCAGTTTTCTTAATAAATAGTTCACCAGTATTTTCTTAGGACATAGAGACTGGCACATAGTCACCCAGCTGGCTTTTATGCCAAAGGCAGAACTAAAATTCAGAACCCCCAGGTTCTAATCAAGCACTTTTAACTATTAGATCAAACTGGCTTCCTCCAACTCTACTGTTATTCTTTATGTTAATCCTCAACAGGCTTCTGCTTAGGTCTGGTGGCGGGGGGGGGGGGACCCTGAAAGTTTTAGGAAATTCTAGTACACTGTTCAGAGAAGGACAATGTTGATGCATCCTCAAGCATTTGCCAAAAAATGGAAATAATTATAAAAGACATACTGTAATTTCTAGAATCATCAGAGTGTCTAGATGTGAAAGGAAGATGGAAAGTGAGCACTGAGGACCAGAGGTGGTATTCAGCAGGTTCTGACCAGTTCTGGAGAATTGGTAATGGGAATTTTGAGTAGTTCGGAGAACCAGCAAATACCACCTCTGACTATCCTTAACCGATTTCTAATTTTTGCACCACTAGTGAGTAATTTCATTTCAAGGGAAAAAAATTCAAGCATTACATAAATTATATAAAAAAAAAACTTTCTTAATATGAAATTACTCACCAGTGGTACAATAATTAGAGATAGAGTTAGTCTTTGAATTAAATCACTAGAAAACAACTTCAAGTCCATCACTTTCTTAAATATTGTTAGCAAAATTAATCTTGCATATTTTAAAACTGATGTACAAAGAAATTGGAAAGAATTCTACTGTCTCTAGTAAATTTTGGGAATAGCATTTAAACTGGTAGATACTGATTTTTCCTGGGCTACAAAAGATTTTACTCATTTCAGCATTGAATTCATAAAACAATTAAGGAAATGAAGTATTTTCTTTGGAGTAAACCATAATGAACTCACAAAAATGTTGATGTAGATGTCGGTAGAATTAGGGCTGGCTTTAGCCCAAAAGTGTGTAGGCACTAGCCTGGAGTGCAAATTTTTAGATCCACAGCTGTTCCACCAATGAGGCTAGGGATGCCCTTATCTTACTGTGAAGCATATCACTAAATTATGTGTGCGTGCATACACACAGTATAAATAAATATGTGTGTGTGTGTGTATGTATACATATACATACTGTATACATATATACTGTATATATGTGTACATGCGCGCGCGCGCGCGCACACACACACACACACACACACACACACACAGAGGTTCATTTTTGAAGTGGGGAAAATAAAGAGAGGAGATATCAGCTTGGCTTTCTTGTGTCATGGCTGTCAAGGTAGCCCTTATTCCCTAACTTAAGAAAATCTGCTTGTTGTAATTATTCCAGTTTGGTACAGTATGACTTCTGGGTAGCATATCCTTTTTTCATGGTGTTAAAAGTAAGTTGAGATCAGTCACAGTGACAAGCATGTAACTTGCTCACAGCCGTCTATGATGTTTTCTTTTGATATATTGTTTTCTTAAAACTTCATACTGAAAAGATCATAGAACTTTAGTCTGTGAACCATTATACAAATCCTATTCTCCTTCATATACATTTGTTCAAAGGATGAGGAAATCATGGTCTCTTCTTGTTTGCAGCATTCATCTCAATGTTTAAATTATTTTCCAAATGAGAAAAAGCGGCAGATAAATGTACACTTGCACATGTCAATTAATTTAAGTTAAAGGGTGTCCATAACTAATGAGAATGATGTGCCATTTTTATTCTAATATGCACTTGCCCATAAATATACATAAAAGAAAGAGTGATGGGTGCCCATTAATCAAAGGTACTGAATAACAGTCAAATTTTAGATGAATTTAGAAAATTCAGTGAATTAAAGTGAAGCTCAGGAAAGAAATAGTTGAAACATTATATATGAGGGTTTCTCAAGCATACATGCAGTTTTACATAGATGACTATATTTCATTGCAATGGTCCATATAAACCACCATATAAACCTTCATAAACCACTCATTCTAGTGCCATAAATGTCATCAGCTCTTCAGTCCATTAACTAACTGGGCCATGCATTTGTCTGTCCAATGTTGAAATTCTAGTCCTTTAACAATAAGAAGGCACAAAGAATCCATTTCTATTGTCCGGCTGTCAGTAGGAATGTCATTCAAAAAGAATGTAAGCATCTAAATGTTAAACTTTGCCTCAGATCAAGATATACAATTACTTCATCCCAGAACATAATAACTTTAGGACATTACAAAAACATATTTTAATGAAGTTGTTCAAATAAGTCATAATTTCAGAACTGTTGAGATTTTTGGTACTGAGGTTAAAAGTTTTCATGTATTAGTTAAAATAGAGATCTCCTATTCCTATTTGCATATTGAATTGATTTAACATATATTTATAGAGACTATCAAGGGCTTTTTTGTTTGTATTATTTAGTGATCCTTTATAACAATTATCCTAATTTTAGACTAGGGCTGGGACAGATGACAGCATTGTTTCTCTTCTTATCACCTAGGGCTCCAAATGATTGACACTTGAGTAAATCTTCCTCTTCCATGGAATATCATCCCAAGGCTTAAGAAGCCCAAGGCTTCTTAAGGATACCAAAAAACTTTTCTTTTTAAACTAAATCTATATTCTTGATTTAATAAAAGTGATATTGGTACTTCTGTAGAGAAATGTGAATGTTGAGAGGAGGATTAATTCAAGGAGGAGTGAAAGGAATCACACATGGTATAGAAAAAAATTAATAACTTTCCCCTCTTATTCTACTATTAGGATTATCCAGAAAAACCTATATGAGACTGGAAGAGTTTTCAACTTAAATCCATTTCCAATTTCTGTTGCCCACTTGCTTTCCTTGTATTTTTCTTTATAACAATTCCATTATTTCTAGAGTATTTTCCCCTACAGCACTTTTTCTCTCCACTAGTATTGATTTTGGGAAAGGATATGGCAATTTTAGTCAAAAACATATACATTGTTCTTTCTACTAAGAGGTGGTCTTGTCATTCTAGGATGTTGTACTAGGTTTTGTATTTAAAAAAGAGGAGAATACAAAAGTAGAAAAGAATATTTGCTTCAATACATGACCACTCCTAGACAACTTTCATTATGATATTTGAACTGTCCACTTTGTAGAAAGTTCTGATCAAAGTGGGACTAAAAAAATATTCCATGTGTAATATTGAATTAAAAGTGTTATTAAATGAAGAGTGGAGAGACATATAAAAAGTGAAGGAAGCAGAAGCAAAAACAGAAAACCCAACAGTTTTTAAAGGCTATTTTCTGTCAAGAAAAAGTTTTGTGTGTATATGTGGCATAACTTCAAACAAGAAAAGTATCATTTTAAAAACTCTTCTTGTTTGCCAGATAGTGCATATTTAATATTGGTAAGCTTTGCTAATGGTTCTTTAGAATCTAATTGACAAAAGAGGAAAAAACTTGATTTAAAATGGTCATAGAACAATGGCTATCCTACTGAAGTGAAATAGGTTGAGAAGGAATACTACATTTGACTGTAATCCTGGACACATGCATTAGGGAATTGTACTCTCTGAAGTATCTGGGATTAATCTGGAGTTAAAATAACCAGTCTTTGACTTCTTTGGGAAATGAATGCAATAAGGGCTGAATGGAAGATAAATATTAAGACTATACTATTATAGATTAGTTTAGACCAGTGGTAGTCAACCTGGTCCCTACCGCCCACTAACGGGCATTCCAGCTTTCATGGTGGGCGGTAGGGGTTTTGTCCCTTACTTTATAAATCACCATTACTGTGGAACCGGTGGGCAGTTAGAGAAAACTTTATTACTAACAGAGATGCAAAAGTGGGCGGTAGGTATAAAAAGGTTGACTACCCCGGTTTAGATGTTCAAGTCAAAGGCCCAATCAAATATTCAAATCAAACCAGCTTTCCAAATTGAATTGGATAGTTGATCTGAATTATCAAATGAGATTCTTTAGAATCAATACAGATAATTTTGTATATGCAACAACAATGGCTTTTCCTAAATTAGTTTGGTAATCTGAATTGAATCAATCTAAGCTGATGGCTTGGTATGAACATCTGAATCAAATCAGATTTATTTTTCAAATCAAATCAGTATTGAAGTTGAATTTTCTCAGTATTTTTTTTCCGCCTTTATTCATGATTTTTTTTCTGTTTGCATGTGGTAGTTGATGCTGTTTCTGGTATAATGATGCTATAATCAAAGGTCAGGTCATACCATAGCTTTCTGCAAAAGGAATTATGGCCATGACTGTAGGAAATAGAAGTACATAGACCAAGATGTTTTAGATGCCACTTGCATAGTTCCTGACTATTGATATTTATAAGAGTTTTAATTCAAATCACCTGAAGTAGGTTGTCTATCCTGATGCAGAAAGTCATAGACTCATAGAATTTATGAAGAGGTGATGCAGTAGTTAGAATGCAGTATTGCAAGCTAATTCACTGCTCACTGCCAGAGTGTGATTCTAACTGTCTCAAGGTTGATTCAGCCTTCCATCCTTCCCAGGTCAGTAAAATGAGGACCCAAATTGTTGGGGGCAATATGCTGACTCTGTAAACTGCTTAGAGGGGACTGTAAAGCATTATGAAGCGATATATAAGCCTACTGCTATTTAGTCCAATGCCTGTTCAATGGAGGAATCCATAAAATAAATTTAAAAATATTTAGAGGGAAAGGCTTCTTATCTGTTCTGTTGGGAAATACATCCTAATATTCATTCTGAATTGATTTGCTTTAAGTTTTGACCTGTTGGCCATTGTCCCATTTTCAGATTTAATAAAGAATTAAATCAATAATGCACCGGAACCAGATTTTTGCAACCAGAATCAGGATCATCTCAAGACGTTTTGCTGCTTGAGACAGAGAAATCAGCAGAATTGTGGTCTAATTCTAATTCAGCCAGGGGTGGGATTCTACCGATTCTATCTGGTTCTATAGAACCCCTTGTTAACTTTCTAAGCAGTTTGAAGAACCCATGTTAGAAGCAATCTCCTTTTGTTTTTTTCCACCCTTATTACATTCTTGGCAGAAAGCCTAGACTTCCTGTCTCCAGAGCTTCTGAGGCTTTCTTAAAGGGGAAGGGTTGTTTTAAGATTTTTACACTGTTGTTGGGAGGAAATACTTCCCTGGACAATCAGCACTTTGAAGAAATCATTGAATAATGAAGCAAAGCTTTTAGTGACAGGGAACGAAGATGAGTGACATTCAGCAAGGCTTCTTGGCTAGCTAGAAAGATTGACATTCAAATGTGAATTTACAAACCCTTTCTGAGTTTTGGGCTAAAACTGGTGTTTGGTGAAGCTTAATTCTGTGCTTGGTGACGTTTAATCCTGTGTTTATTGGTGGGAAAATTTTCCCTATTCAGCTTCAACAAGCAACAGCTACTGTTGTGATTTAATTATTTGTATTATGTTTGAATTTTTTCCTGCCTCATGGTTTCTTTTTCTATCTGGGAAGGGGTCTTCCTTCACTGCAGTACTATCTGACACTGTCCTTTTGGGGTATACTTCCAAGAGGCAGGGTGCAAGCTTGGCACTGATTTTTTTTATACTGCCTTTCTGGGGGAATGTGACCTTTCCTTAAATCTGGATGATTTCCTTAGGATATCTTGTGAGGTGAGTGAGACCAGCTGGTATCATTAAGTGGTGCAAATGGATCTAAGGATTGCTTTTCCTGGGTGTGCTCTTTCTGGAGAGCTTAAATGACCTCTCTGCTAAAGGACTTCACTTTATGAACAAGAGTTGGCTGCTGATAATTATCACTGCATTTTAACTATTTTCATTCCTCAAGGTGCTCTGGCACCCTGCCCGATTTGTAACTCCGGCTTGCAGGTATTTTTAATCTAATGATTGGTATTTAGGGAAGGTTTTTGCAAGCAAAGAAGCTTTTTGTATTTTTGTACAGGTAATCCTTGACTTACAACAGTTCACTTAGTGACCATTCAGTTACAATGGCACTGAAAAAAATGATTTATGGCCATTTTTCACACTTATGACCGTTGCAGCATCCCCACTGTCATGAGAGGCCAGGCGAGGAGAAGTGACCCTTGACATGAGTGATGTTGAGTTGGCCATGCCTACCCATTCACATGACTACCAAGCCACACCCACCAACTAAGCCACGCCCACAGAACCAGTTGTTAAAAAAACTGAATCCCATCCCTGAATTCAGCCTTAGTAATGAAAAGCATCTTCCTTTGCCCCCGAGGCAGCAACTAATTTGTGGAATGGAATGGACAGGATAGATTTTGTGGCAGGCACAATTTTGTCTTCAGTGAGAAAGGGTTTATGGCTTCTCAGAAACTGTTATCTGAGACACACTCTGTCTAACTGTAGAACTGGCCCTGGCTACGGTCTTTACACTTTGTCTAGTCATAGAATTGTAAATGTTAATGAGGAGGGCGGAGCATGCGTGAATATATAGGTTAACAGTGCTGGTGGCAGTCTTATATCTGTCAAGATTCCATTTCATGACATTGTTTCAAGGCCACAGGGATTGTTCCATGCTAATTGCTTTTATGGGCAGAATGCAGTATGTGGAAATTAATTATTCCTAAATATGGCAGAAGGCGTTGGGCAACTTCTATGCAGTTTACAATGGACTATGCTTCATAGGGCAGCTTGCTGTTTAATTATAAAGGATCACAGAACAATCTTGGTCTATGAATGAAATTAATAATGTTTCTCTAACTTGCTTCTGCTTAATGGTGTCCATCAGTGGCTCAGGTGATTGATTGCTTCTCTAAGTAGAAATGACAATACCAATATTAGTGGCAACTAAGAGAGGATGTTGCTGGAATAAATTATAGGTGCAGTTGTGCTTCTCTGAGAAATAGAAATACTTGGTTGTTTCACTATCAATATGTTGCCCATAAACACTCAATCTATTCCTTGGACCCTATGCACCTAAAGTAGAAATCATATAAAGGTTTAGACTACTGAAATCTATAGGATATATTTTGGGACATAAGTAGATATGGATGTGAACTATAGGAAATTGTTTTATCTATTCATCCATCTATCCTTGATGGGTTTTTAAAGCCATTCATAAATTTGCTTAGGCTCCAGACAGCAACTAATATATTGGATCTTCTAAATATGGTCTTCCTGTTTCTTTAGATATTGAAAACATATATATAGGACCAGACAAAAAGAAAGGAAAAACATAACATGATATACTGAATGTGGTTATTGACAGATTTCTGCCAAAACCAATTAAGAGAACACTTAATTGGCTTTAACCCAGTTTAACTGTTATGGATATCTATCTCTAAAGGATACAAAAAATGCAGAATTGTCTCTTTAAGACTGGAGAATCTTGCTCCGATAATTTGGCGATGGGGGAGGCAGCAGGGATACTCAGCATTAAACAGTGTTACCTTCATTATACAGACCTATGCATCATCCAGCTGAATTCAACTGCTACATGTATGGACCATCAGAATCTGAACAAATATATTCTGCCTGTAATAATAGTAACAATGACATAACCAAGGATCTGGCAGAACAGACTTTCTAGATGGTAGCATACATCTCATTTTGTATGTTATAAAGCTGAATTGTACAGTACCCTAATCTCCTCTATTACCTAGATATTCAATATACTTTTCTGTTGTTCATTGTCACTTTTGATGTAAACAATGCCTACATCTGTGTATCTCCAGTACAATTCTTTTTCTGAACAGAAAATGCAAAATGCTACAACAGTTTTATCACTTTGTCTTAAATATTACCTAGTGTTACATAAACTGTGAGATGCACTTCAGAGATTATGAATAAGAAAAAGAGTTCCTGGAGCTAAATGAATATTGAATAATAAGAAAGGACCTGTGAAGGATTTTAGTTAAGTTACATGGATACATATAAGAAAAATAAAAATAAAAGAAACAATAGGACAGGGACGGTAGGCACGTTGGTGCGCTTATGCACACCCCCTACAGACCTCTTAGGAAAAGGGTGAGGTCAATAGTAGACAGTGTAAGGTTAAAGTTTTTGAGGTTTGGGGAAGAAACCATAGAGTCAGGTAGAGTAGAGTTCTGCAGTTTGAATCTGAAAGCCTAATATCACTGCTTCTGGGCCAATAATAGGCAGTTGGCTCTTTTTGTTCTCACAACTAATTGCCATTGGGTGGGCTGATTAGAGTTGAAGTCCAAGATCTCTGTGCAGGAACACCTTGTCTATCCCAGCCCTGCTCCTCAAAAATATCTGGGCAGGCAAAGAAGTTTGCCATGTCACCCTTTTGCTTCTCCATCCAATCTCAATACCCACACAAAGTAATTATTTTGCTGAAGGAAGGAACCATCTTCCAAGCATCTCATGGATGGATAAAATGTCCTTAAACCTGAATTCTTTCTCTCTTGGTCTGAAGGGCAAAACTTGAATTGGGAGAAAGGTAAAATTGTCCAGTGGGTAGATAAATACTACCAAGTCTTATTCCCCACAGACATGAAAGTATTTGAAAGGAAAGAAAAATCTTTTGGTTCCCTGAACATTTCCTGCAAGGATAGAGGTCCTTTATGATTACTATCCTGCCATTTTCCCTCCTTTTTTTCTGCCAAAGGAAATCCTGATTTATTAATTAGGGACAGCAAAACTACTGAGATTAAATTTGGCCCCTGTTAAGTCTCTTAAACCCAGCTGTGGTTGATGGCATCTGTAGTTTTGAGCTTGAAGGTGGGTCTGAGCTATTGGGATATATTTAGCTGCATTCCCTTGATTTTCTCTTATGTCTACATTCTTGTAGCCACAGGGGTGCTGAAGTAGCTGAAATGAGAAAAAGGCAACAGTCCCAAAATGAAGGAACATCGGCTGTGTCTCAAGCTCCTGGAAACCAAAGAGCCAACAACACGTGTTGCTTCTGCTGGTGCTGTTGTTGCAGCTGTTCATGGTATGTCATGCCATCTCTTGAGTACCTTTTCCATAGGTTATATGACGGCTCCAAACCACCAGTTACCTGATGCAGAAACTAATTGGGGGAGAGGGGAACAGGGATGTTCTGCATAGAAAAGACATTGCACAACAGGTGCTCCTTTGGTGCTGATTTGTTGTGAAAAAAATGCTTGTGTTTTCCTTATGTTTTTGTTTGTTGTGACCTTTGTGTGGCTTCAAAAATGTGATTAGTTGGCAGCCCAGATATGGCAAAAGCATTGCTACCTCCAAGAATACATTCATATCTGAGGAGGTTTCGTTTGGGTGTTTTCACACTTTGTATACAACTTGGTTTTATTAATTGTTATTGTAAAAATTAGATCACTTGTAAGGTGCCTTAAAACCTGGGGTATCTGATCAGTCTTCCTTCTGTGATCTTAATATTGCTATGTTTTCATAAAATAAATATGTGATAACTCCCACTGAGTTCTCACAAAGAAGGGGAGAAAGTTTGGACCTAGCTTAGCAAACTTATGCTGAAGTTTTTTTTTATTTTTGAAGTGATTCCAATTCTTGGGGTGCAGCTGGGGTTGGGTGAGGGAATGAGGAGGAATAGAGAGAAAGCCAGTGCATGTTGAATGAAAGACAAATATGGGCAGGATCATCCTGTTTATTACTATTTGATAATTTGATTAATAACCTACAGAATATATTTATAGTCTGGAAACATTCAAATTCCACCGAGATTCTTCAGCTGGCAAAAGGCCACCATTTTAATGGGGATGGGGCCAGGAAAATTGTTGCTACTCAGCTCTTCCTAAACGAATCACCAGCTCAGGAAATCTCAGGCTGAAATCAGTGTTTATTTTCTGTCTTTAAAATAACCTCAGATAATCATGTGATATTTCCAGTATGTCCAGGGTGCCTGTCACTAAAGCATATAAAACTTTAATGTAAGAAGATTTATATGCGTGTGAAAGAGTCCAGCGACATCAACAAGGCTCTACAGCTATTTCACTTACTGAGGGGTTCCATACAACTGACATAACCTTTTCTCTCTCTTTCTCTCTCTCTTTCTGTGAAATTCCATTTCCAAAATTTCTTTGCACTGTAGCACTGGGACTGGTAAGCTGCAGCTTCCAGCATAATTTTGTAGAGCTCTCAACCCAGTTTTGAAAGACCTCTGCCAAAAAATCAGCTCAGAGCCCTGGCAGGAGCAATTTGTTCCTTCTCCAGCAGTCTCCTATTGGCAAAAAAAAATCAGAAAATAAAATACAGGCTGAATAGTCAAGACCTTGTTGATGATCCAAACTCTGTCAAGGATCTTGGAGTACTCATCTCTAATGACCTAAGTGCTAGAGACCACTGTAACTACATAGCCAAAAAGGCATTAAGAGTTGTTAACCTAATCCTATGTAGCTTTTTCTCTGGTAATATCACACTACTAATTAGAGCATACAAAACATTTGCTAGACCAATACTCAAATACAGCTCATCAGTCTGGAACCCACATTACATATCTGATATTAGAACAGTTGAGAAAGTCCAGAAATATTTCACAAGAAGAGTTCTCCACTCCTCTACTCGTTGTAGAATACCTTATGCCACCAGACTTGAAATTCTAGACCTAGAAAACCTACAACTACGCCGCCTTCGGTCCGATCCCAAAGATGCTTTTTCAAGAGGCAACTTGAAAAACTTGAAAGAGAAAACTTTCTGGTTTTTCTTTGAAGATGTTTTGCTTCTCATGCAAGAAGCTTGTTCAGCTCTGACTGGATTGGTGGGGATGACACAGATAAACCTCCACGTGGCCTCAACGCCTCTATAAAAGAATGCAAATGACCAGCTGTCTGCAAAGAGTTCCATTCCCCACCATCCAGTCAGAGCTGAAGAAGCTTCTTGGATGAGAAGTGAAGCAAAATGTCATCAAAGAAAAAATAGAAAGTCCAGTTGCCTCTTGAAAATGCACCTTTGGGACAACCATGACCTGGATGACTGAGAATCTCCATAGACTATGTAGAGATTGTATTGCACAAATAAAGGTTAGTCACTGATATCAGTTCTAATGCCTTGTCAACGGAATCTGTAGAATCCTAGCATGGTTAGATCTAAAGCTGTTTTCTTGGTCTGTTGTTTTGTTTTAAAACCAGAAGTGCCTATACTTTGTTTTTAATTCATGTTCTTTCAGCTAGGAATATGATTATGCCAATTGAAGACTATCTTGAATAATCAGTTCTTCTAAGTTGGGGACTGAAGAATTGAAATAAAGGAATTCCTTTTTCTTGGTAAAGGAATTCAGGAGAGCCAATTGGGTGGAATGATTAAAGCCATGAAGCTAGAAAGTGGGAGACTGGGAATTCTAGTTCTGCATTAGTCATGAAATCAGCTGGGTGCCAAGAGGAAAGGAGAGATGCAGAGGGGGTGAAATCATAGTGGTGTAGAGAAATTGAAGCAGTTCATTCTCCTCCCTTATCCTGTATCTTCAAAAAAGTTGGACAGGACTCTCTGGGCTTGAAAAATCCAGGTATCAACCAAATGGCAGCAGAATTTTTGTTTTTTTCATCTCTGTTGCCATTCAGTGGGCATCCGGATATTTATATCCTCATCAGGGCGTGGAATTCAGCACCAGATCTATCCTGCCATTGGGTGGCTATACCTATGCATCCAAAAGCAAGCCACTCTGAGTGATTTAAGGATGTTCATGGAAGATAGTTCTGGTGGATTAAGACACATAGATTTGATTACCAATAAAGCAAGAAAAGATCAAAGCAACTTGTTTGGAGCAGAATTCAGATCACCTTTCTCCATCTGGATCCCCCATAAACCCCAATTAATTGGCACAATAACTTTGAATACATCTGGAAAGTGCCAGCTTGGAGAAAGTCTAGATCAGAAGCTTTTTCTTCCGAGCACCTCCTCCTGTCTTAATCAGTAGCAGTGGGAATTTTCAAGTTCATATTTATTAAGGAATTATAAAATACATTGTTAATCAGAAGACAGAGTTTAATAGCTACATTTTTTGGAACAGAGCAATACAAATGAGCCAAGGGTATGCTGAATGCTTGAGCGATATTATTGATTCAGCCTAAGGCTGTATCTCTGCAGTAAACTTTTGATTGAGAGTTGGATTGGCAGAATAGAAAGGAGCGTTCACTCCAGCCACAGTTTCAGTCAGATTGAGAATGAACTGTTCTATCTTTATAGTTAAATAATTCATACCTTCTTTAGTGGATGGTACCCTTATGCCATGAATAGAAATACTAGATATGGGTGGACAGAGTTTTGCCATTTAAGGGCGCCTCTGTTTTATTCTATCTTTTAAATTGCTTTGATATTAGGAAACTACTACCGCTAGACTATTTATGCAGTAAGGTACACTGAGCCATGGAAGCTAAGAACAAAGCAAAAAGATTATTTCATTTTTTAAAAAGGACAAATAATCCTTCTTATACATCTTCTACGGGCTGGAAAGAGTTCATTATTGAATCAAGGTTCTTCAGCATTTTTGTGAACTTTCCCAATTAAGGAAGTATTAAGTCTTTTGTATTTGTATTCTGTCTAAAAGTCACCTACATATTACAGCACCCTCCCAACTTGGTATAATTATCTTAGAGATTTGAGGCTGAAAGTGAGAGAATGTTACGATTGAGCACTTCTATACTTTAACATTTCCGGACTCTGGAAAGGCAGTATGTGCAAGATGAACAATGTAATTGGTTCTTTTTCTTCCTGTGCTGATTCACATGTTTGACATGGTTCAATTATTCAGTCACTAAATTGGGTGATGAGTCATATCTTCATTTCCTTACCAACTATCACAGTATACTTTTCATACAGAGAGGTCTATCCCTAAAAATGAGGCAGAAATAATATAAATATAAGACTTTAGTAACATAGCTTATAGTACAGTAGTAAAAATTTGGTAAAATATTAAGGAAAGGAAAAGAAGAAAGAAGCACACGCAAAGATGTAAGTTTATTCAATTTTTAAAATTTTATTTTCTTGATTTCAGCTGCAAAGTAATAAATCATATCTGTATTCATCCAGTTTATATTCCATGGCTTATAGAAAGATAATAACTTTCATCTGAGATCAGCTAAGGTAGATGCTCTTTTCCCATTCAGTTAGGATGACAGCTTTAGTGGCATTTTTTTCCACAATGGAAGCAAGAACCTCCATTCCTAAAGTTGCAGCCACCCAATCAGCAACAGTGTGTGGGAATGGCCTTGGGAGACAGGAGGAAGAGCTACAGCCTAGACAACAGTTTGATAAACAAAATCTGAGCTGGTTAAGATGGTTAAGCCTATATTTTACAGGTAGCCAGAGCCGTTAGTTGCATCATACCTATTCCCCAACAATAACTAACTTTAGCCTAAACAACTAGAGGGACAAGCCATCTTCATTTCGTCTTGGATAGAAAGACTCAGCTACTCTTCCTACTGTGTAAGAAGATGTACAGCACTCCCTGTTTCTCTAATGGCAAGCAACTTCCGCTTAAGAGCCAACAATTGAGACAATGAAAGAGGAAAAAGAAACTATGTTTTTCACAAGGTGGAAAATGTCTTCTTATATTTTTGGCCTATGGCTAGGCCTTCTTCCTTGGCTGCTGTCTTTCCTTCACTACTCATATTGCGCTGGCCTTCCTGAACCCATACCAACATCTAATAACCGTTTTGCCTGTTCCAGGAAGAAATGTTACCGGGAAAGGTGACTGTATTTGTTTGAGTGAAGAGAAGAACCACTCTCAGGTAGCAAATATGAGATTTGCATAAAGGTTTTGCATAGATTTTTCACACATAGTGTTTGTAAAGCTTTGCTACGATCAAAACAAAGTATTATTCAAAATCCTGAAAGGGAAAGACTGAAAGGAAAGAGAGAGGTTGACACTTTAGCTGTACGATGTGAAATTGCAGTTTTTCCAAATTGGTTGAGGATCCCTAGCTTTCCAAATGACACATAGATATATATGTATTTTTAGCCAGCTTCGGGAATGGATATTTTGGGGCCTATAACGGCAGC